CAACTCGAACAATTTCACTTTAATGCAAACGGTGTAAATGGTGGTCAGGCGGTTCGTGTCATGTGTATGGCCATCTCAGGCGATTTGCCCATCGATATACACTGGCTTAAGGATGGTCAACCTTTGCTGCGTTCGATTTATCATAAAATCGATGAATACACATTAATCTTATCTCTGCGTCAAACTACTATTGGCGATTCGGGGAATTATACGTGTGTTGCGCGCAATGCGGCGGGTGAGGCACGTCGCTGGTCGCTGCTGAAAGTGAAGGGTGAGGGCGTTGTGTGATTCATTAGCCGCATGCCACACTCAGTTTCTAGACTTTATATTCTTTATAATTTCATTTTTTTTAATCATTTGAAATTCCCAATGAGTTGTAAGGAGTAAACTAAGCATTTAAGCAGTGAGCGTGAATATAAATTCAAAGTGCTTGCAGTGACATAAGGGGTGTTAAAAACAGCGCGGGAAAAAATTTATAAAACATTAATTTTCTTTACGATTATTTAAACACTTATTTTTTTATGAAAATTGCTATATCTAAAATATTTGACAGCTTATTTATTGTCAAATTAATATAATTTTTCACATTTTTCATCTATAAACGAATTCTGCTCTCTATTTGAATTTCTTAATAAATTTTAAGAAACCCCTTTTCTGACCAAACTCTCCATCTCGGCCACACCCTGTCATGTGGGTGACTATGTGCAACTGACTTGCATTGCCAGCAAAGGTGATTTGCCTATTGCCTTCAATTGGTATTTAAATGGGCAACGTATCAGTGGTGATTTGGCCACTTTGGCCAGCGTGGGCGAGCATACAAGTCTTTTGTTAATCAATAATGTTACTTCACCGCATGCGGGTCGCTACACATATGAGGCAACAAATGCGGCAGGCAGCGCGAACAAGTCCGCAACGCTGACGGTGAATGGTAGGCAAAAAGAAATCGGCTGTAGAAAATTGCATTCAATAGAATTTTTTTTATTAAATTTTGAACTTTTCTCACTGTAATAAAGCGGAAATAAATTGTTAATTGCAAATAAAATCTTAAATACTTTTTCAGTAGTAAATTTGTTAATTAAAGTTTCTTAAAATTTTATTATGAATTCTAAAAATTACATTTGCAATCGCTTTACCGAGACTTAATTGTAGAAATCAAATTTACTTAATTCAATAATTTTTTGATGTACTAGTCAAACTATTTTTTATGCAACCAAAATGACATATTTCATAAAATTTTTAAGTTTTTCGGAACTGAATTTTTATAAAATTATGAATTTCAACATTTAAATTTACTGAATTCGTAAATTTTTTAAATTAAATTTTAATTCAATTGTGCTTATATTAAAATTGAAAATTAAATACGACAATTTTTTTTTCTATTGAAAATTTTATAAAAACAATATTTTTATAAAATAAAGATATTTAAAAAATTTCAAATGAATTTTTTATCGAATAGAAATTTTTATAAAAAAAAAATAATTTTATTACATAGAAATATTTTTAAATTTTTACAAATCTTTTTGCAAATTTTCACAACACAGCTATTGATTGAAGCCTATATTTCTTTGGTCTACTATAAAGTATAAGAAATTATTAAAAAATGATTTTTAAGAGGCCTCATATTTCTGTTTGGAAAATTATATTTAAGTATTTTTGTTTTGACAAGTTAATTCATTTATTAACTTGGAAATAACCATATTTTTTGAATGAATTTTATGTAAAAGCTTATACAGCATTTAGGATATGGGAAATATGTAAAATTGACTTAATTATTTTCAGAAAAAATGTTTAGCAACAGCATTTTTTAAGAGTTTTTACCGTGTATTAAATTGCATTTTTTTTGGACATGTTTCTTTAAATTATTTAAAAAAATAATAATTTAATGGCTTATACTTTTTGACTTTTTTTTTGGTATATGCAAATTTTTACCAGATAGAGAGCTCATCACCGTCCATAAAAATTATATAATATATTCGCAAATTATCAGCCTACACTCTTTGTAAATATCTAATATTTATCATTAAAATAAAAAATTTCCAGCAAAATCACAGGTGCAAGTCTGTATTATTTCATGTGAACTAAAATGTAAATAAATTTTTTTTAACATGAATGTTGTCAAAAAGTCTATGGCAAATAATAGCTTGGGTATTTTTTATAAGAAAATCTATGATCATCAGCAACTAATTTAATATAATGAAACAAATTTAAATGGCAAAACAGCTCAAATTCGCAACAGCAACAACAAATAATATCACAAGAAGCACAAACACACAATACATGCATAAACACAGTGCACATTCAGCGCATTCACATACATAGAAAAACACACAGTAACAGGTACTAAGCATACATTTAGGCGCACAAAGGCACTTTTAAATAAGTGAAAGCTACACCAACATCAAATCTGTGCGAGCACAATTGAACAAAAAACATTTGCATTGCATTAAATTACAAATAAATAAATTGTTAAAACAATGTGCAATTTTCGTTTTTTTCTTGTTTTCTGGTTTGATATTAGTCACTTCATTTTAAATTATTAAATTTTCTAATTTAAACATTTTATTTTTCTTTTTCTTTTATTTTTTTGAATTGCATTTTCTGCATATTATTAGTAATTTTTACATATGAGTATGCAATTATTAAAAATAAATTATAATTCGAAGCAAAAACTAAATAAAATAAAACATACGAATTTTGTAAATGTGCGCAGCAAGCAAAACTATATCATTTTTTTTTTCAAAACAGCAAGAATATGCAGCATAATTTTTCTACGTTCAAACGCTCCTCTATACTCCTCGCTTACTAACAGTTGTTACACCAAAAAATACAGTTAACACTTTTATGAAAAAAGTTTGCATAAAATAGATTACTAATAATCCATATGTATGCATGTTTGTATACATAGAAAAATACTAATAACATAACATAAAATAAAATGTTACTAACATTAACACTAGTCAAGCACTGTTAACAAACACATACTGTAAGTACTTTAACATTTCTGTACAGCGCTGTATATCCAACAAAAATTGACACGTCTGTAATATATGTGAAGCTGTTAATAACGGTATTGCTTCACTATCCGCATATACAGTGTTGTTGCAAATTTTTTTGTTTCATTTGTTTTGTGCGAATGGCCCAACAATTTGCATTAAAACCGGTCAAGTGCATAATATATTATTAACAGCTGTGTACAAAATGTATGCTACACAACAGAACAGCTTCAACTCCCGATACGCGCTCATCCATTCTGATCACTAACTCGGTCGCTTCCACTCTCGCAAATTCCCAACCAACTTATTCAGCTACCACCACATCCGCACCCTTGAACATCCTATCTTTAATTAATTTTAATTTTCTTTACACGCATAATTTTTGTATATAAACGAACAAAGTGTTAAATGATGCTGGAAGGAATTGTAAAAAAAATACTTTTAAAAAAATAAACAGATGAATAAGCTTACTTTTCACTTTAAATTAATAATCGTTATCGATTGTAATAGGCAAGTAATCCGTTAATTGCCCAGCTTCAATTGACATTTCGTTTTACGCATGCTTCGTAGTGACATTTAAATTTAGTTTTTTAAAAATATTCATTTCATTTATTCCCACAACATTTCATTTGTCCTTTTTGCCTTCAGTTTGTATAAATGTATGTAGCTTGTTGCTTTCTTTGGTTGTAGTTGTAAAAAAATATTTTAATTTGCATAGTTTTAAGCTGAAGTATTTACAGAAGATTTTGATGTTGTTGGATTTCTTCCAAAGCAAAAATTGTACATTTTTTGAAAAATATTTAAAAATTGTTATTATGAAAATCGTGTGCAAATACATGGTGTAATGAGAATATATTAAGCAAACAAATTCCTCTATCAATAGCTGATCACTGATAAGTTTTTTGGCATTTGTATTTTCAGTCAATTAGTGTAAAATTTACGATATAATAATTTTTTGTGCTACTTAGCATAACAGAAAAAGTAATCATAGACTCATTTACTCTCAAGCGCTTAAAACTTAAAAAACAGTTATCAACGACGTAAAAAAATTGTACATGACGAGTTAGAGGTATCAAATATTAAACAAAAAACTTTCTTTTAAAATTAAACTCTAATCTTTTTAAGATAATTGAGTTTTTACTGTCGGTTGAATTTTCTCTTCGACTGTATGATGACTAATGAAATTATCTAACTGTCTAAAGCCAATTTAGTTTTAGTTGGAGTCAATGATAAACACTTTCTCACATTTACTATTATTATCATAAAAAGTCAAAATAAATCAAATACAGTAATACAACAAGAAAATGTTTCAATTGGTAAAAATGTGATTATTTAACTAACGAAACCTTAAATCTATTTGTATAAAAGCTGAAGACAGTTAGTTAAAAATATCGAAAATCGATACTTAATATTTCTCATTACACTGAGTGCACACGATTACTTCTAATGTTTTAATGACTAGAGTTGTTAATATAATAATATCGAATTTAAAATAACTTGTTGGAAATTAATTGCGAAATATTTCTAAATAGTAAATATAGTTAAGCAAAAAATTATAAACTTTTTTTAAGTAACATTTAGGTAAAGTTTCATATAATCAAATTATTTGTTTATAATAAATACTTACAAATAACATCAAAATTTTCGTAAGTACAGCAAGCTGAAGTGAAATGGTAAATATAACTTAAAAATAAAAATTTGCAGTTAATATCAGTTTAATTAGGACTAAAAATAATTTGTTTTAATTAAGGCGAAATTAAATCTCAATATTGTCAATTGTATTGTAAATAAATTAAGATATTTTAAATAAAGTCCAACTAGTATAAAATTACCACTTCACTGCAGCTATGTTCTCCGTCCGTCTGTTTTAGATTTTTTCAAACACTGCCGCATGTTCTCTGAATATTACTTACCAATTAAGAAACACTATGAAATATGCTAACATATTTTTTCTTTGCCAACTCTTCGAATACGAAACTACGGCTTGATTTGTTTGAAACACAACAGTACCACCAAGATGGATACTCGAACCCACCGACAAGGCTTTCGCACAAGGCTCCGACGCTAAAGTTGAATGCAAAGCTGATGGCTTCCCTAAACCACAAGTAACATGGAAGAAAGCTGTTGGTGAGTAAATGGAACAAATTTTCGCTACTCACAAAAACGGATTTACAAAAACTAACGCTTAAAATATTAAAACTCTCAGGTGATACACCCGGCGAATACAAGGACTTGAAGAAGAACGATAATATACGCGTAGAAGAAGGCACACTACACATTGACAACATACAGAAGACAAATGAAGGTTATTATCTCTGCGAGGCTATTAATGGTATTGGTTCTGGACTTTCGGCCGTCATTATGATTAGCGTACAGGCACCACCAGAGTTTACCGAGAAATTGCGCAATCAAACTGCACGCCGTGGCGAACCAGCGGTCTTGCAATGCGAAGCTAAAGGCGAAAAACCCATTGGCATCTTGTGGAACATGAATAATGTGCGTTTGGATCCCAAGAATGATAATCGTTATACAATTCGTGAGGAAATACTCTCAACCGGCGTGATGTCTAGTTTGTCTATTAAACGTACCGAACGCTCAGATTCTGCGCTCTTCACTTGCTTGGCCACCAATGCTTTTGGTTCAGATGATGCTAGTATTAATATGATTATACAGGAAGTACCCGAGATGCCCTACGCTTTAAAGGTTTTAGACAAATCTGGCCGCTCCGTACAGCTGAGCTGGGCGCAACCTTACGATGGTAATTCACCACTTATCCGTTATATTATCGAATTCAAACGTTCACGCGCATCTTGGGACGAAGTGGATCGTGTTATGGTACCCGGACATACAACTGAAGCGCAAGTACAGAAATTAAGTCCCGCTACTACCTACAATATACGCATTGTGGCCGAAAATGCTATTGGTACATCGCAGTCATCGGAAGCTGTAACAATTATTACCGCCGAGGAAGCACCATCTGGCAAGCCACAAAATATTAAAGTCGAACCGGTGAATCAGACCACACTGCGCGTTACCTGGAAACCACCAGCACGCTCTGAATGGAACGGGGAAATTTTGGGTTATTATGTTGGCTATAAACTATCGAACACCAATTCTTCATACGTTTTTGAGACTGTTAACTTTTTGACTGAAGAAGGCAAAGAACATAGCTTGGAATTGAATAACTTGCGTGTTTACACCCAGTACTCTGTCGTGATACAAGCTTTCAATAAAATCGGCGCGGGTCCTTTGAGTGAAGAGGAGAAACAATTTACTGCCGAGGGCACACCAAGTCAACCACCAAGCGACACTGCCTGCACCACCTTGACCTCCCAAACCATACGCGTCAGCTGGGTGAGCCCACCACTCGAATCGGCCAATGGTGTGATCAAGACCTACAAAGTGGTGTACGCACCTAGCGATGAGTGGTATGGTGAGTATCCAGTGATGATGAAAATGTGAAATTATAGTGTTTGAACATATTTACTTCGTTTATTTATACGTTAAAAAATATGTTTAAAAACAAAATTATTTTGATAAGTTATTACTTTTTAATATATTGCTAAATAATTGTGTTCTCTCACCAAAGATGACACCAAACGTCATTACAAGAAGACTGCTTCCTCCGACACCGTTTTACATGGCCTCAAGAAATTCACCAACTACACCATGCAAGTGCTCGCCACCACCGCGGGCGGCGATGGCGTACGCAGCGCAGCCATCCACTGTCAAACCGAACCTGATGGTGAGCGAAATGCAAAAATTATAAGTTTTTAGACTAGTAAAAATGTTTTCTTTCGCATTGCAGTTCCCGAAGCACCCACCGATGTAAAGGCTTTGGTAAAAGGCCACGCTGCCATACTTGTCTCATGGCGTCCACCAGCACAACCTAATGGCATCATACAACAATACACTGTTTACTCGAAAGTCGAAGGCGCCGAGGGTGAACCCAAGAGCCAGAAAATACCACAACATCAAATGAGTTTTGAAGCCATCGATTTGGAAAAGAATAAGCCATACGAATTCTGGGTCACCGCTAGCACCAATATTGGCGAAGGACAACAATCGAAGAGCATTGTAGCAATGCCCAGTGACCAAGTGCCCGCTAAGATCGCCTCATTCGATGATACTTTTACTGCAACATTCAAGGAAGACGCCAAGATGCCATGCTTAGCTGTTGGTTCACCACAACCCGAAATCACATGGAAGGTTAAGGGTGTGGAATTCACCAGCAACGATCGCATGCGCGTCATGGCTGATGGTACATTGTTAATAAAAACGGTTAATCGTCAAGATGCCGGTGAATATTCGTGTCATGCTGAGAACTCGATTGCAAAGGATTCCATTACACATAAACTAATTGTGCTCGCGCCACCACAATCACCACAGGTATCACTTTCCGCCACCACGACCGATTCGTTGACTGTCAAAGTGAAGCCACATGAGGGAGACACCGCGCCACTACATGGTTACACACTGCACTACAAGCCAGGTGTGTTCGTGCGCATTTTTTTTTGTGGTATGAATATTTAAATTTTTTTGCGCAGAATTCGGCGAATGGGAAACTGCTGAGGTATCTGTGGACGCGCAAAAATTCACTATCGAAAATCTGCTTTGCGGCTCACGCTATCAAGTCTATGCTACCGGTTTCAATAAGTGCGTATTGTGGAATAAACAATTTTTAACTTCAGATCTGAATATAATTATTTCTCGAAACCACTTTTAGCATTGGCGCTGGCGAAGCTTCAGACATTCTGAACACGCGCACCAAAGGCTATAAACCCAAACTGCCAGAGAAACAACGTTTCATTGAGGTTTCATCGAACTCGGTTTCACTGCATTTCAAGGCCTGGAAAGATGGCGGCTGCCCCATGTCTCACTTTGTTGTAGAAAACAAGAAGCGGTTGGTGCCACTGCCGCATAATTCTGTTTTTTTTTTTCAAAAATATTTCATCTACTGCAACTGAAATCTCTTTCTAGCGAACATGCTGAATGGAATCAAATTTCGAATAATGTTAAACCCGATAATAACTACGTTGTTTTGGATCTGGAGCCCGCTACTTGGTACAATCTACGTATTACTGCACATAATTCCGCCGGTTTCACGGTTGCCGAATATGATTTTGCCACTTTGACTGTGACTGGAGGTATTTACTTTCTGTTTTCCGATTTGCATTTGTATATATGTGTATATTTAAATATATACATACAAATATTTACATAGTTAATGATTGCCTTTACGAACGCACATATGTAAATGCATGGATACGTATGTATGTATGTGTCCAATGTACATGTGTCTGTTGAAAAGTCGCATTGCTTTTGTACATACGTATATACAATAGAACTACAGTAGAGAGTGGAAAAAATGCTGCAGATTTAAGCTATTTAAATTAGTTAAAAATATATGAAAATTCGAAAATAAAAAGTATTATAAAATATAATTTAAAAATTTAATTTAAAATTAATATTTTTTAATACAAAAAATAATCTAAAACAAATAAAACTTGAAATTTATTTGCCTTATTAAATTATCTATTAAAAATTAACGTTTCTGCTTTTAGTAATTTAAAAAAACTATGTTTTATGAAATTTAAAACAAGCCACATGAATTTCAAATAAAAAAATAATATTTTTTTTATTTATAATTTTGAAAAAATATCTCCCTTTCGCTTTTTTGTCTTTTGAATTTCGCGGCTATGTACAAAGCGCTACAGAGCTCGTATCTGGCAACACTATACATAATTTGAAAGGTCTTGACATAACCTACAAAACAACGCTATGCATGATTAGTTTGGATATTGCGTTCAACAGTTATAGACGTGTAAACATGGAGTTCACTAACGCCGAAATTCGCGCTATTTTAAAGTTTTCCTTCGTTTAAGGCAAATCCGCTAGAGAAACGTTCCGTGAGATTAATGGTGTTTTGGGGGATGGTACTCTATCACTTCGACCCGCGCAGGAATGGTTTCGACGATTCAGAGCCGGTGAAAACGACACCATGAATTAGCCAGCCGGCGGAAGACCTGTGACGACAAATACCGATCAAATCATGGAATACATCGAGTTAGACCGGCATATGGCATCTCGTGACATCGCCCAGGAGATGGGAGTTAGTCACCAAACCATTTTGAACCATTTGCAGAAGGCTGGATACAAAAAAAAAGATTGATGTTTGGGTGCCGCATAATTTGACGCAAAAAAACCTTCTGGACCGAATCAACGCCTGCGATATGCTGCTGAAACGGAACGAACTCGTCCCATTCTTGAAGCGGATGGTGACTGGCGACGAAAAACGGATCACATACGACAATATCAAGCGAAAACGGTCGTGGTCGAAGGCCGGTGAATCGTCCCAAACAGTGGCCAAGCCGGGATTGACGGCCAGGAAGGTTTTGCTGTGTGTTTGGTGGGATTGGAAGGGAATCATCCACTATGAGCTGCTCCCATATGGCTAGACGCTTAATTCTACCATATACTGCGAACAATTGGACCGCTTGAAGCAGGCGATCGACCAGAAGCGTCCAGAACTGGCCAACTGGCCAGGAGGTTTTATCGCATCCACCATATAGCCCGGACGTAGCGCCAAGTGATTGCCCTTGGTGGTGTGAAGTTGAACTCAAAAGAGGCTTGTGAAAAGTGGCTGTCCGAATTCTTCGGAAATAAGGAGGGGGGCTTCTACGAGGAAGGTATTATGAAGTTGCCGTCTAGATGGAAACAGATCATCGAACAAAACGGCGCATATTTTAACTAAATCCGATCACTGTAACACTTTTTATAAAGCATTGAATGAAGAGCAAAAAAGCGGAAGGGAGATATATGACAACCTTATATTTTAAATATAAAAAATATTTTTTTTATATAAAAATTAATTAAAACAAAAAAATCTGAATTTCGTTTGCCTTTACAATTTATCTATTCAAGATTAAGTATTCTGCTTTAGGTAAATTGAAAAAAAAATTTATTATGAAATTTTAAACAAGTCAAATAAATTAAAAAAAAAAAAAATAATAATAAATTTCCAAGTTCATGTATATATACTAAAATTTGTCTCTAAATATCAGTGAAAATGGAAGCACATCTGATTTTTTCAAATTATTTCTTAAATGATAACGTTACTTTTCCAATAAAATAAAAAAAATAAATATTTCGTTGTGAAAATAGAAATGAAAATCAAAAACTTGAAATTCCGAAAAAAATTTATAATTTATCAAAAATTAAAGTTTAGCCGATTTATTTTGCGCTATTGCAACAAGAATAAAATACTTTTATTAAAACAAAAAATAAAAGCGAAAAATATAAAAAATTCTATATTTTTAAATATTGTTTTTTTTTTTTTGCAGTACGCAAGCAGAAATAAATTTAATTTATGATTTAAAATTTGACTTTTCTGCAGCATTTTCACCACTTATGCAAATAACAAAAAAAAAACGAGTTTGTTGTGGATATAAATTGTAGTAAAACAAATATTGCTAGTTGATGAAAGCACCTGAATGCTTTGTTTTTGCAACTCGTCTGCCAATGCAAGATTTAAAAAATGCCAAATTGTTAAATAATTGAACCCATGATAATTCACCACAAAGAAATGCAAAGTTGAATTTAGTAAATTTTTGCTTTTTATACAAATAACTTATTTTGTTTATTTTGCCATGTACAAAAATTGTTTACTTAAGCACTTAAAAAATTATGAAATACAATATTTTAATTTTTGTAAAATATTTCAAAAGCGACTTATCAGTTTTATATAAACATTTTTCGCTAAAAGAATTATTTTTTATGCAAAATTTTAATGCTAAAGGATTTTAGTTTTCCGTACTTATTTTTTGCATAAAGTGTAATTCATTTTTTATTCAGCATTTCGTGTAAATGCTTATATATATTTGTTATTTATTTATTTCGATTATTATTTTTGTACAAACTAGTAATGCAATGTAGAAAAACACTGAAAATATTGCGTTTGACCGCATATTGCTCGTACTCGTAAATATGGTATCTATAATTTTTATTGCGTAAATGCAATTTGTTTTTATCCCCAACTCACCAATCACCCAAATTCACGTTCAACTTGTAAATTTAAAGAAAAAAATGTTTAAAATAAGTTATGATTTATTTTATAGAAATCCACAACCACTGCCACCATTACACCAAATGAAAGTTTATATATCATGTTAGAAAAAACGTAAAGTATCTATCTGGTCTAGCATTTGTGTAGTTCGAAAAAGTCAACAAGCAAAAGTCGAATTGTCTTTCAAGCTGATTTTTTGTTGAAATGCTTTTTTGATTTAATTTGTAATTTTTTCTCATAGTATTCTTGAGCCTCATTAATTTTTAATAGATTTTTTTTTTTTAACTTTACAAAGTGAAAGTCGTGTTGTTGTGCCATGAAGTGAATACATATTCTGTATTTAACTATTTTTTAAAAGGTGTTAAAACAATTGTATGAAAAAAAACATCCTCAATTATTTTTTATAATTTAAAATTGTACAAAACTATGAATAGTTTTAGGAAAATGTGCATTGACGTCCTTGCATCGCTTGCATTATTATGTAGCCTACCTCATCAAATTAAGAAACCGAATTGAATGGAAGTGAGTCAAGTCTTTTCTTCCTGATGTTAATTTTATTCCCCTTGAGATTTGTTGTTAACTTTTCTATTTATATCTTAACTAGTTATAAATCCGGTTCCGCATCGGTTACATAGCCCCGAATGGTATTGGAATGTCATAACTTAGTCGACTGTTACTGTTTTTACATAATTTTAACTTCAGATGCTCAATGGAACTTATCCACAGAAAAATTTAAGGCTAACTCGTTGAATTTTGTAAATATATATATTTGCATGAAAAGTCATCATATAACTGTTCCAATGATCTGTTTTTAATACTAATACTATACCATATTGGTGAAGAAATTAAACATTTCGAAAACCAAAATTCGTGGAAAATTGAAAAAAAACAGTTCTTAGAAATTTTTACGTACGACAATTTTCACTTTATCGTATAAATCATACAAATATGAATTTCGATTTGAAGGCTTACTAAAAGTCTGGGAAGTAAATAACCAAATCCCTTTCTAATGCGAATCACAAAAAAATTTCTTAACAACTATAAGACACGATATTGTTTATGTCAAACAACAAAATAGTTATGTGTGTTCTGTTTCAATATATTAGGAGTAGCTTCGAATTTAAACTATTATAGTTACTGCTTTTGTCATTTCCACTTTTGTACATTGTTCAAGATTTCACTTTATGCATATACCGTACTTACATGGTTTATTCTAAATTTCAGTTTTAGTCTAAGTCTTTAAAACACAGCATTTTCCGTTAAATATTTTTCAATCGCTTTAGAAACTTTATACATTCATTTTGATAGCAAAACTATATGGTGTCTGTCCGAAATGAATATCTCAATGAATATATAAAAATCTTTCAGGTATGGTTTTGAAAACATATTTTCTCCTCACTGTTTGAGTGAGTAATTCGTAACAGTACTGAAGAAACACCTTTAAAAAAATAAAAATAGATTCTTAACAAGTTTCGGGTTATACAATATAATAATACTCCCTTTACGCTGTGCTTAGCCCTAGTCAATAATGATAGTATGCTTGTTTAAAATCTGTATAGTTTGAAATACTACTTAGTGTAATATGAAATACAACCCTGTATGTCGAAAATCAAAACAAGACATAATTAGCGTAATTTTAGAGCCTTAATAAAAAGGGTATACTCTTAAGTTGTTAAGTTTAAAAAAATGTCCATAATTTTAAAATTTGAGAAACCAAAACAAATAATAGAACAACAACATATGCTTTCCATTTGAGCTTGCTACTTATTATATTTCCTTTTTCGTTATTTAAATTTATGCATCACTATATTTTATTAAACATAAAATCGCTGTGCATTCTAGATCACACCTAGAAGCAAAACATCAACACTAACCTTATAGCTTTTCATCTAGAAAAGCTTAAGCCTTATTTGTATTGGGGTTCCAAGAATACTTAGAGCATTATTTAATATTCGAATAATATATTAATTTATGAAAATAAAAAATGTAAACGAAGGGATTGTTTTTACCTGCAACAACCAAAGCGCTGCTTCAACCTCCATTTCCTACACACATACAAATGAGTGTCAAGATTCTTTTACTGCCATAAAAAAATTTGCATCATTGAAAAAAATGAATACATTTTCATAAAGAACAGAAGAAAGAAGTTCACTGCGTCTCTCTGAGTTTATTTCGTTTTTCAATTTGAGTATTTTTATCTCGATTTGTAACAAATTTGAATTCGATTATAATTCGATTACTATTTAGTTTGACATAACACACTTACATGCATAAATATATGTATATACGTAAATGTATAAATGTTAATGCATTTATATATATTTATATATATATACATATATAACATACACATACATTGTCATTTGTGAAATATTCATACATTAATTACATACCTGCATACATACATAAAAATTACCACGCATCAAAAACATATTTATCGACAACTATCAATTAAATCGTTATTTAAACAATAAGTTAAATAAATATTTATCATAATCTACATACATACATACATAAAAATATGTATAAAGCAAAATATTTATAACTTTTAATTAAGGAATGTTGTTCGAGTTTGCCGAGTTTCAAATTAAATTTACTTGCATAACCTAAAGTTACGGCTGTTATTTGCTTACGTTTGAGATAGTTTTAATCAAATACTTAATGAATATTACAATTAGCATTAGTTAGCAAAAAATGAAAAAAAAAAAACAAATTGCATTTAGTAATAATTAATTAGTGTTTTTAGCAATATTGCATTTACTAGAATTAACTAAAATATATGTGAAGTGAATTTTAATTATGGAAAAAGTAATTTTTAATAGTGTGAAGTAGAAATTGACAGTTCAAAATGCTTAAATATAAGCATTGTGCGTTCGCACATTCGAAATTCATGTTCGAAATTTCGAAGTTAGTGTTCGAAAATTCGAAGTTATGTTAAAAACATTCAAAATGTTCTAAATCGCTAAATTATAAACTTGCGTAAATAATTTTTTTCAAATGTCCTTTGCTGAATACTAGATAATTGGAGATGCAAAAAAATGTATGTTAATTTTTTATTAAAATTCACTTTAATCTTTACTTAAAACTGTAATATAGTGAATTAATAGCTTTAAATATTTTCACAATATTTTTCGTGTTAACGAAGTTGTTCAATCACCCAATCAATCAAACTATGCTTAATTTTCGCTCTTCGAACTATTTGCAATTAAAATGTATGTGTTGTGCCATTCAAATCAACTGTTTCTAAAGTTACATGTTTTTCTACGAATTCTGCGTTACACGTTTTAAACTCTTTACTCTTATTAATTAGACTTTTTTTACTTATACATACACAAGCAAAAATTTCGAATTCAACTTTTGTATACTTAAATAAATTAGACAAAAAAAAAACAAAGCAATAGAATTAAAGTAATGTTTGGAAAAAATAAGTATAATTTCGAAAAACGAAATACTCTACATTGCATTGACGAATTAACCGAGTAATGCCAAATTTGGGCTTTCTATCTTTCTCTGTGTCTCTTTTCTCACTTTATCTCTCTCTCTATTTGTGTGTGTGTGTGTATGTTTGTGCGCTTCTACATACTTTGGTTGTTACAGGAACAATTGCCCCTTCGCGTGACTTACCCGAACTAACCGCCGAGGATACGATACGCATCATACTTTCCAACTTAAATTTAGTTGTACCGGTGGTAGCTGCTCTACTCGTTATTATCATAGCGATAATTGTTATTTGTGTTCTACGTAGCAAAGGCAATCATCACAAAGGTATATACACTGAATATTATTAATTGAATTTTCTTTTTTTTTCGTTTTTTCTTTCCATTGTTTTATTACAAACTTCTACGATCACTGAAACTCTCTCTGTCTAATGCGCTTAATATGACTACGTTAAACAAACCAACAAAACAAAACTACTTTTATGTTTGTTATTGTTTTCATTTCGCCTAATTCGACACAACAAAAAACATAAAAAAAATTAAATACTTTGTAAAAATGCATCCGTACCCTACTATGAGCAAAATTTTAATTACTTGAATGTTTGGCTTGTCATAAATATTGTTATGAACAAAATTTGTGATTTTCGAATATTCGAAAATGCAATTTCCAAAATTCTAACAATACTATAATGCATGCAATAACGCTATAATATACTAAAATATGCAATAAACAATCACAAAATGGGTTTGTATTCACAAAAATGACATTCGAACATAAAAACTACGTTATAAACTGTCCATGTACGCGAACAAATCAGGCACCATTGCACCACTCGACGATGGTCGGGGTGCAGGCAATCTGAATACGCGTATACGCCTACCCGCCTGGATGCCCGAATGGCTGGACTTGAATTTTATGGTGCCTTTAATAGCCACTGTCATTGTGGTAGCGGTTGGTATACTTGTTGTATGTGTAGCGCTTTCCAGACGCCGTGCTGATGACTTGCGTGGAGGACAAAAGGATGTGTACTGTAGGTTTTGCATTTTCCTATGCTTGAGCGTACATAGCGAAGTGCTTTTATTAATAATAATATCAATAATTAACTTTGTTTTATATTGTTATATTTTATATGGAAAGTATTGATTTTCATATTTTATTTCTGTTTTGAAAAATTTAAACTAGAAACTAATTTTCAACGCCAAATTGCTTAAACTTGGTGCTTGAAAAAGAAATTAATTATAATCAAATCATTACAAAATCGGTAAAAAATATTTACTCTTATAATTATTCTCGTGTTAAATGTCACTCCATATTCGTTGTAACTAACCTTATACACTTGTATATAAAACATAATACTTAGCATGAATTCCTGCCAATTTTAAAATTAATTATAGTTAACAAGAACAACACAAATATGCCAACACACCATCCGAAAAAACTAAATGGTCCAATGAAAATTTCGAACATTCCTAAAATTCTTTTAATAACGGTAGATATGCAGCGTTAAAAACAGTAAATAACATTTGAAACACCCTGTTTTCAATTTTCATTTCTGATTTTTCAAATTACCCTCGAAAGAAATCGGAATAGAATTAAATTTAGAACCCCTAATTAACTTCCTATAAAGAATATTTATAGTACGTTTGAATACATATACAAACATATTTACTCTTATCGTTGTTGTAGTAATGTAAATGTTAAAATAATTACTCATATATGTACAGTTATATATATTTAAATGTTAAACGTTATGTCCATCACGTCATCTCATTACCAAATTGGTTATCCCCACCCCTAGAAAAATAAATGTTTTAAATACGGATATTGGTATATTCATAGTAATCGGGAAAAAATATTTATTTTTTATGATTTTGTTAACCCTATTACTTACTTCCAAATTGAGTTATTTTTACACTTTTTACTTTAAAAGCTACGCATAAGTTTCATAGAAAACTTTGAAACAATTCCAAAATCAATCCCAAATTTGTATGGGTTATTTTAAGAGAATATTTCTCTCACAAAAGAATCAGTTTAATCTCTCCATTCTCTCCATCTAAAGGAAACGGTATTATTTGTCCAACATGAAAGTTATATTGAAGGGATTTTCTCTGGTTTGCTAAAGCTTTCATGACATAACTGTTGTACTATGTTGCAACATGTTGCGAGATTACTTGTATATGGTAAAATACATTTCACTCTCTGTACTATTTTTCAATGACAAATATGTTCTGAAGAAATTCGTTCATACACAAAGTTCTGCTTACTTGAAAAGAATATTTTAGAGGATTTTATTTGAGAACTGTGAAATTAAAAGCTTTTAGTGTGTAGCTCAAAGCTTTGTTATTGTTTAAAGAACCTTTTGTAAAAAATCATCCTTGTGAGTTTTCAATTTAAGAGTTAACACTTTAAGCAAAACTAACAATTTAGAAATTGTTGAAGCCTCCCCTTTTATTTTCTTTTGGGGTTGCCATCTATTGAAGAATTAAAACTGAGCAAATAATCCAAAAATAAAGCATTAAAGAAAAGCTCTCAAAAAGTATTCTTAGTGAGTAAAATTAAAATATTTTAAATTAGAGTTGCTACCTATTAAAAATAGTAAAACCGAGTAAACCACTACAAAATGTTTGGAAAAAAAGACGGCGTTTAAGAATGTTTTGCCTAAAGTTTTCGATAGTTCCTTAATTTAGTTCTTTCTAAGGTTTGAAATTTTAAGATTCTTTGTTTGACAGTTAAAGTGTATATAAAAATAAATCCGTTTGCCATTATTATTATTATTTTTTGTATGATTAAGTACGTAATTATGTTTAGTAACAATAAAATAAAAAGTTCATGTCTGCTGGTCAATTGCTATGAATATACCAATATATTGTTTATTGAAAATTTTAGCTACTCTTAACTAGATAAATATCTACTGTTTCTACGTCCTTAGGACCCATATGGGTTTCTGTATATTTAGTTGCTATATTATAATAATATACATACCTACATACATATTAAATTGTGAATTGAACACTTTTTCTTACTCTTTCTCTATATTGATTATTTCAACTCAAAAATACAAAGTTAATTTCTCCATATTTCCAATACAAATTTGTGTATGTGTTTCTTTTGAAAATTAACTATCTCAAAAACACAAATTTCCAAACTTCAAATTCTATACAACATTGACACTTTAACTAGAATTTCTTTTTCTTTTAGTTTTGAATAGTTTTTAAAAATGCGCCCAAAACCCCCAAACTAAGATGCTTTTCTAAAAAATCGAAATTCAAAGCAGAAAAATTATATTGAAATTCGAAATAATTGGCAACTTTTTTCTACCCTACAAAATTATAAGCATAGCGTTTGAAATCATAAATCATACATTTCATAATATTATTCGTAATTTTTGAATTAAACGTATGTACGTATGTTGGTATATTTATGAAAAAAAGTTTGGAATATCTATTTACTACAATATTTTTATATATAAAATATTTCAAAAAAAAAAATTAAATATATTGCAGAAAATTATTTTAACGTAAATTACATGTAATGAGCAGAAAAAAATGTAAACACCTTTAATTAGCTTTAAAAGTTTTTATAAAAAATTGTTTTGCACAAATTTTAATTCCTTTAAGCTCGTTCGTTGGTTCATACTCTTTCTCCTTTTTACTCTGGCACTTACTAGCAATAAACAAAAATCGTAGAACGTAAGTCAATTTTGTGCGCTTGGGTGACTGTAACGCAATGTGCGAAATAATTTAGTTGATTTTGTAACCAAAAAAATGTAAAAAAAAAAGCTTTTTTGAAGGCACCTGTCAAAGCGAATGGTTGCAAGCAGTACAAAAGAAGAAAAACAGAAGTAAAGTAAGAAAGTTTTGAAATTAGAAAACAAACCAATTGAAAGTCAAACGGTAAAAGCATCTTCAGTGCCCCCAATATTGAGTTTGCAATATCATATATTAATTCTAGACGATGTAGTTTACAATCAGACCATGGGACCTGGCGCCACATTGGACAAACGACGACCCGATTTACGTGACGAGCTTGGTTATATTGCGCCACCCAATCGCAAGCTGCCACCAGTGCCCGGTTCTAATTACAACACCTGCGACCGGATTAAGCGAGGTACAGTGATAAGTAAGCATCTAAATTTACGAATTACAACATTTATTAATGCGAGCAAATATCCTCTTGTTCTTCCAATGATTTTTCCGTTATCTTGGTTTCAATATTTTAAGTGTCCGAAGTTGCTTTTTTTGGCGTAAATTTGAATGCAAATTTTGGTTTCTTAGTTATTCACATACGCTTTACGCCATACGCATATGCAATGCAAGTAAAAAAGGACAAAAAATAAATAAAATACAATAAAAAATATAAAATTTTATGAATCAAGAAATTTCTTTATCGAAAACTGTAAATGTAAATTTAAATCTCTTAATGTAAATTTTGAATTTTGCTAATTTCTGACTCATTCTTACTACTGTCTCACTTTTTATGAATTTTTAAAGTAATTTTTTACCGTGTAGCAATGTAACTTTAATTATAAGCTACATTTTTAATATGCGACTATTTCTTTTTGGAAATTTCGTAATGTCCTTTTGCTGAATATTTGTACTTCTTGCATGCTTCATAAATGTTGTAGTAAATTTAGATAATACTTGTAGTCTTAAGTAGTATCTTTTGCTTTATTATAAGTGGAACAAAATTTTGAAAAAAGAAATAATTTTAAACTTTGCACAAACAATTATACTCTAGAGTACTATTTTGAATTGTGTAAGTTTTAAACACTCTACCTCACTACGAAATAATGACATTATAGATATTTAGACGATAAAGATTATATTCTCGTAATTTAAAAAAACCAAAGCCAACCAGAAGTTTGAAACTCTTATATAATACTTATAAATTGTCTTATATAAAGCACGTATATACTAGGAGCTAGAAATATTATATTTTGATCCGCTTTTATCCAGTTTTGGTATTAGGACATATCATTACCAGAAATTAGGGCCCTCTGAATTTCAGTAAGAAACCGCGCAGATTAACTTATATATAAGATATAAAGTCTAGAGGATTTTTGAAAAAGCAAATATAAGGTATATGGGGATTAGGGGAAGTAATGCTCTGATTTCATCAATTTTAAGCAAGAGAATACACGAAGAATTTCATTAAGATTTCTTAAATAGATGTGGGTTAAAGTCAACCGGAAGTTTGAAAATATTTATATTAGGTATATGGGGGCTGAGGGATTTATTGACTTTATTTTACACATTTAGGCTCCACAAAAGTATTCTCTTCAAATTTCAATACTAGACCTCACAGATTGATACTCGTATGTTCGGTGAAAAATCAGCCATATGCACTGGTGTCCACATATTTGGGGTCTTGGTCCTTAAAAAGCTATAGTCCGATTCCGACAATTTTAAGGTAATTTGAAATACTTTGAGGGCACAATTCTGATGACTTCATTGATATTTGATTTGTATATTGGGAAGTGAAATCATCTGATGGAATATAAAAATTTTTTATATGGGAATTAAGCGTGGTTTTCACCACAATTTCGTTTCCCAGTGTAAAAAAGGAACTTTTAGGTAACCGCACTCCCGAAATTGGGGTAAAATCGGTCAAGTAGTTCCAGAGATATAGGATTTGAACAAAAGATGAACGGTTCCACGTCCATTGTCCAAATTTTATACCTAGTCCTATAAACCCCTCCCTTCTATCTTGGTTGTGAAATTTATTTTAATCTTGGTTGTGTGATATTATCTTTTATCATTTTTCACAGTGTATGAAGAAGTGCTAAAAATACTTCTTCTTAGCAAGTTTGGTTGATTTAGCTGCAGCGACTTTGATAATATGTACGTTAAACTATTTATAGGACGGGTCTACACCCACTTTAATACAATTTTAGGCCACAGGTGTCCCTCGCTTCTGTGATCCTCTGTACCAAATAACAATTTTTTATCTTAATTTAGTGTTTAGTTATATCAGTTTATACGCTCTCGCTTAACGGAATTTTATGGGCGTGGCAATTTTCCGATTCCGCAAATCTGAAATACCAAAACCCGAAATGGATATGAAGTGGATATACATAAACCAAAAAGAATTAGAGTGAAAATTATTCCAAAATATTTGATTTGACGATCGACTAGATTAAAAAACAAACATCATTGACTCTCGACACACGCCACTTCAAAGGTTCTTCATAAAAATATTATACTTATGCATTTAAACGTATATATGTATATTAGTATTTTGTCCACTTCAATCGAAGTTAAATATTTTTTTATTGGCCATTTATACCAAAAACATAGACGACCGGTAATTTTGAGATACTTCCTGAGCACTTTATATTCGTTGTCTAATATGTATATTCACATTCTGATATGCAGAATTTTATACACAGAGATCATAACCTTTCCGCCTTATAATCGTATACCAAGCGACACAAGTCGCCTTTTGAATCTGTTCTTAATCATAGGATCCATAAACTGAAACCCGCGTTAATGAGGGTGTCAATTACTTTTTGGCTTAACATAAGATTATATACGACCGTCACGGATTCGTCAGTGAACAGTATGACCACAAAAAAAGATAAACAAAGTTCTCTAGCTTTTTGCGGTGCTAAGGTGAGTGGTAAGTGATGATAACGTCGAAAATTTTCTATTTGCTTCGAGTTTCTTTATGTTTCCCCTATAGGAAAATCCTAGGTCATCTCCGGGAAAGTTTTTTCAAGCTATATTATAAGTGTAACAAAATGTGTCCTGAGTGGCCACTTTAGAAATATATTTCGAAAAAATTTTATTTTATAAAATTCAATAATTTCGCAGTAGGGTTATCGAATTTACGCGTCGCAGACTGACAATGACTTAATTGACTTACTCGGCTTAAGCAATCGATTAAAGCTTTAGAGAGCAATTAAGAGAAAAATAGATAATGAAAAATTTTGTCAGGGTCAAGTCAGGGATGATCGGGTTTTTTGACACTAAGATTTACCATATCTATAGGAAGCTTTCTTATGAATTATAGAAGCTCGAAATAGATAAGTACTTATGATTAATGAAAAATTTAGTAGGGCTACTAGTTATAGTCTTTTATTAACGGTATTAACGCTTTTAGCGTTAATTATATTTTAAATTTATTTATATAAACCTATAACAAGACGGAAACAAAATTTAAATTATATAAAAAAAATTTTGAATTAAAAATGTTTGTTCCACTCATAATGCACACAATTATTAAAATAGCCCTATCCTTATTTCTTTTGTAATATTTTAATTGAAACCAATCGTATATTTTTGTTTATTTTTATGTTCATCATATGAAAATTGCCTACTTGTAATCCCAACCCTCGACAAAATCCCGATTTATTCCTGCAACCGCTTGATGTTTTATAAAACATGTTTAATATTTTGAATTTTTTAAAACTTATTATGTAAAATGACAACAAACAAACAATGAAACATTTACTCAATTAAACGCAAATTACACACTGTAAACATATACATAACGGTTTATATGAAATATTACGGTAAATTTACAAAACTATGGGCCTATGTCACGCAACACGTGTATGCATATATTGACTGTGCTATGCTCTGCTATGCTATGCCATGCTGTGCTATGCCATGTTCTGCTATGCGCGTCTATGCTGTGTTATGTCTATGCTCAAGTAGCACGTGGCATACGCTCAAATCACTCTACCTGGGATCCACGTCGTACTAACTTGTATGAGGAATTGAAGGCTCCACCAGTGCCATTGCACGGTAATCATTATGGTCCCGAGGATGTACAGTGTCATTATAGACATCCAGGTAGGCGTTAATATGGGTGATATGGGCTTTAATGAGTTTTTAATTGTTTAATGCTTAATTTTTTTTTTATTTTGAAAACATTTGTTTGTGTTATTTATTATTTCTATTTTTTTATTTTGTTTATTTATTATTTTTATTTTATGTACTTTTAATTTTTTTTCAATTGCCTGCCACTAATAAAAAACTAATCAAATAATAGAAATCACATAATTTTTTGTCGTAAGAGGGGTATCTTAAAAACATATTTTAATTCCAAAAACTTTTAAAAAAATTCAAAATTTAAAAAAAAAATTTTTTTAAATTATATCTGCTATTAAAAGCTAAAACTGTGCTTAGTTCAAATAAATTGGTTGCTGGAAAAAAAGTTGTACTTCAAAAGCAAAAGCTTAAGCTTTAAAAAAATTAACTTATCGTAAAACAAGTAAGGAAGGGCTAAGTTCGGATGTAACCGAACATTTTATACTCTCGCAAAGTCAAATAGTATACTCATTTGAGATTTCTTTGTGGATTGACTGATATTTTCGGTAGAAGGTCAACTATAGGCACTGGGGTCCACATATTTAGTACTTAGGGGCTTAAACAGTTTTGGTTCGATTTAGATAATTTTTGGCCACAAGGTGGCATACTTTAGTAGTACTTTCGTAGTCCGATTTCGCCCATTTTAGCACTATGACATAGAAACATGAAAAGAACGTTATGCACCGAATTTGGTTGAAATCGGTTAAGCAGATCTCAAGATATGGGTTTTCACCTAAAAGTGGGCTGTGCCACGCCCACTGTCTAATTTTGAACGCGGTTCCTATAAAGTCATCTCATACCATCCCAGAGATAAAATTTAATGTCTCTGGCTTGTTCAGTGCTTGATTTATCGCGCTTTTAGTAGTTTTTAACAGTACCGTTATATGGGGAGTGGGCGGAGTTGACAATTTTCACACCGTCAATAGAAGTGCTAAAAACATTTGCTTTCAGTGAATTTTGCTATTATAGCATTAGCGGTTTAGGAGATATGCACATTAAACATATTAGAGGCGAGACCACACCCACTTAAAAAAAAATTTAACTGCAGATGCCCCTCCCTAATGTGATCCTGTGTACCAAATAACAGTCTTGTATCTTCTTTAATAGGAACCGCGTTCAAAATTAGACAGTGGGCGTGGCACAGCCCACTTTTAGGTGAAAACCCATATCTTGAGATCTGCTTAACCGATTTCAACCAAATTCGGTGCATAACGTTCTTTTCATGTTTCTATGTCATAGTGCTAAAATGGGCGAAATCGGACTACGAAAGTACTACTAAAGTATGCCACTGTGGCCAAAAATTATCTAAATCGAACCAAAACTGTTTAAGCCCCTAAGTACTAAATATGTGGACCCCAGTGCCTATAGTTGACCTTCTACGAAAATATCAGTCAATCCACAAGAAATCTCAAATGAGTATACTATTTGACTTTGCGAGAGTATAAAATGTTCGGTTAAATCCGAACTTAGCCCTTCCTTACTTGTTTTACATAAGTTAATTTTTAAAGCTTAAGCTTTTGCTTTTGAAGTACAACTTTTTCCAGCAACCAATTTATTTGAACTAAGCACAGTTTTAGCTTTTAATAGCAGATATAATTTAAAAATTTTTAAATTTTGAATTTTTAAAAGTTTTGGAATTAAAATATGTTTTTAAGATACCCTCTTACGACAAAAATTATGTGATTTCTATTATTTGATTAGTTTTTTATTAGTGGCAGGCAATTGAAAAATTAAAAGTACATAAAATAAAAATAATAAATAAACAAAATAAAATAGAAATAATAAATAACACAAACAAATGTTTTCAAAATAAAAATTAAGCATTAAACAATTAAAACTCATTAAAGCCCATATCACCATATTAACGCCTACCTGGATGTCTATAATGACACTGTACATCCTCGGGACCATAATGATTACCGTGCAATGGCACTGGTGGAGCCTTCAATTCCTCATACAAGTTAGTACGACGTGGATCCCAGGTAGAGTGATTTGAGCGTATGCCACGTGCTACTTGAGCATAGACATAACACAGCATAGACGCGCATAGCAGAACATGGCATAGCACAGCATGGCATAGCATAGCAGAGCATAGCACAGTCAATATATGCATACACGTGTTGCGTGACATAGGCCCATAGTTTTGTAAATTTACCGTAATATTTCATATAAACCGTTATGTATATGTTTACAGTGTGTAATTTGCGTTTAATTGAGTAAATGTTTCATTGTTTGTTTGTTGTCATTTTACATAATAAGTTTTAAAAAATTCAAAATATTAAACATGTTTTATAAAACATCAAGCGGTTGCAGGAATAAATCGGGATTTTGTCGAGGGTTGGGATTACAAGTAGGCAATTTTCATATGATGAACATAAAAATAAACAAAAATATACGATTGGTTTCAATTAAAATATTACAAAAGAAATAAGGATAGGGCTATTTTAATAATTGTGTGCATTATGAGTGGAACAAACATTTTTAATTCAAAATTTAAATTTTGTTTCCGTCTTGTTATAGGTTTATATAAATAAATTTAAAATATAATTAACGCTAAAAGCGTTAATACCGTTAATAAAAGACTATAACTAGTAGCCCTACTAAATTTTCATTAATCATAAGTACTTATCTATTTCGAGCTTCTATAATTCATAAGAAAGCTTCCTATAGATATGGTAAATCTTAGTGTCAAAACCCGATCATCCCTGACTTACCTACAAATTTTCATTATCTATTTTTCTCTTAATTGCTCTCTAAAGCTTTAATCGATTGCTTAAGCCGAGTAAGTCAATTAAGTCATTGTCAGTCTGCGACGTAAATTCGATAATCCTACTGCGAAATTATTGAATTTTATAAAATAAAATTTTTCGAAATATATTTCTAAAGTGGCCACTCAGGACACATTTTGTTACACTTATAATATAGCTTGAAAAACTTTCCGGAGATGACCTAGGATTTTCCTATAGGGAAACATAAAGAAACTCGAAGCAATAGAACAATTTCGTAGCAGAATATAGTGTATGTTTAGCGATCATATATGTACTTTTAGTATCTTAGAGCACTCTATATACATATCTCGACTAAATAGAACTTATACGATTGTGAATTGCAGAGTCGAAATTTTCGACGTATATCACTACACTCACCTTAGCACCGCAAAAAGCTAGAAACTTTGTTTATCTTTTTGTGGTCATACTGTTCACTGACGAATCCGTGACGGTCGTATATAATCTTATGTTAAGCCAAAAGTAATTGACACCCTCATTAACGCGGGTTTCAGTTTATGGATCCTATGATTAAGAACAGATTCAAAAGGCGACTTGTGTCGCTTGGTATACGATTATAAGGCGGAAAGGTTATGATCTCTGTGTATAAAATTCTGCATATCAAGATGTGAATATACATATTAGACAACGAATATAAAGTGCTCAGGAAGTATCTCAAAATTACCGGTCGTCTATGTTTTTGGTATAAATGGCCAATAAAAAAATATTTAACTTCGATTGAAGTGGACAAAATACTAATATACATATATACGTTTAAATGCATAAGTATAATATTTTTATGAAGAACCTTTGAAGTGGCGTGTTTCGAGAGTCAATGATGTTTGTTTTTTAATCTAGTCGATCGTCAAATCAAATATTTTGGAATAATTTTCACTCTAATCCTTTTTGGTTTATGTATATCCATTTCATATCCATTTCGGGTTTTGGTATTTCAGATTTGCGGAATCGGAAAATTGCCACGCCCATAAAATTCCGTTAAGCGAGAGCGTATAAACTGATATAACTAAACACTAAATTAAGATAAAAAATTGTTATTTGGTACAGAGGATCACAGAAGCGAGGGACACCTGTGGCCTAAAATTGTATTAAAGTGGGTGTAGACCCGTCCTATAAATAGTTTAACGTACATATTATCAAAGTCGCTGCAGCTAAATCAACCAAACTTGCTAAGAAGAAGTATTTTTAGCACTTCTTCATACACTGTGAAAAATGATAAAAGATAATATCACACAACCAAGATTAAAATAAATTTCACAACCAAGATAGAAGGGAGGGGTTTATAGGACTAGGTATAAAATTTGGACAATGGACGTGGAACCGTTCATCTTTTGTTCAAATCCTATATCTCTGGAACTACTTGACCGATTTTACCCCAATTTCGGGAGTGCGGTTACCTAAAGTTCCTTTTTACACTGGGAAACGAAATTGTGGTGAAAACCACGCTTAATTCCCATATAAAAAATTTTATATTCCATCAGATGATTTCACTTCCCAATTTACAAATCAAATATCAATGAAGTCATCGAATTGTGCCCTCAAAGTATTTCAAATTACCTTAAAATTGTCGGAATCGGACTATAGCTTTTTAAGGACCAAGACCCCAAATATGTGGACACCAGTGCATATGGCTGATTTTCACCGAACATACGAGTATC